GAAAAATAATTTTTAGAGAATGAATGATTAAAAAGTAAATATAATAATAATAATAATAATAATAATAATAATAATAATAATGAATTCATCTATAAAATTATTTTATTAAAATAATATGTGATTGGAAATAAATTTGAAAGATCTATACCAAGCATGAGCTCAATTTCTTTCATATAACGGTGGAGGGACAAATTGTTACAACTGATTTACTCCAAACTTATCTAAATTTTATTATTTACGTCTATTCTACTAAATAAGTCATGAACTTGAAGTTAGTTGTTGTTGTTAAATGTGATTTTACATTTATTCAAGCCATTATATGTGGGCATTTCGGATTGCTTATATTGATTGTATACTTAATTTTGTTTATTTATGATTAATTTAGAAGAAAACTTGAATTGGAAAAGTTTGAATGAAATTGGATTGTACCTGCACAAAATCTTGAACTTGGGACCAATGCATTAAGTTTTGAAGTTGAATGACTTACTTTGAAATTAAAAGGGACGTGGAACGAACAAGATGTTGGAGTTGAGTACTAAAGTGAACACTTTAGAAGATGTTTTGACCCTTGTGGTAATTTGTGACCTGGATATATTTAATTAATAAAATAATTAATTAATTTAATCATAAATAAAATTTAATAAAATTTTGAAACTTGTTTTCTTGATTTTGAAATGTGTGATACTTAAACTTTTACTCATGCAATTTTCCCTTTTAATTATCATTAAAATCCCCACTCTTTGCCCATTTTCAAACTTATTTTTGCAGTCACATTCTTATCCTAAACATTCTATTAATTAACATATCTTATCAATAATGATAATTTTTGATCAAAAAATTTGTCAAGATAGTGTAAGAAGACTTAATTGCCTTTTACATTCTTAAATGAGTAAAAAAAAAAAAGGGACAACTTAAAAAATTCAACATAATATTTGCTTATCTTTTCAAAATACGCTAATAGAATATTTTGAGGCTTTCATTGCAATTAACATGTGTAGTTAATGAAAATTTGTGACTTGAATATAATTAGTTGTCCAAATATTCTATTAAGGTTTGAAAAGAAAAAATTGTCCTTAAATAAATAAAGGGAAAAAAAAACACAAACCCAAGAAAATGAAGTGAAATTAGCAAATGTAAGTATGCTACTTAATGTAATGTTAATGATAAGAATGTGATCATAAAAATGTCGAGACATACATGTAATAATAAGCAAAGTTTGACAACCTTTAATGCAATTAATCCTTATGTTTTTAAGAATAATGCTATTTGACACCAATTTAAATGACATTAAGCCCTCGTTTAGTAGCAATTTTTCATCCAAAAAAATGAATTTTTTCACGTTATTTCACTATCTTAATCGTCATTTTTTACTTGTTCACTCATAGATAAGATCTACTTTTCTCTCTAACAGACAAAAAGTCAATTCTCATAATCACTACCGAAAATGTTCTAAGAATGCTAATCACCATTTTTGCTACTGGATGCCGTTACTATATTATGATTATTATTATTTTATTTTTTTTGGCTTTTCTAATCTATAATATTTTGCTTGGCCATAGAGTAAGAAAATAAAAATGGAAAAATGCAATAATAATTCTATTTATTATTCCCACAGCCTGTATGGTTCCTTTAGGAGTCTATAACCCTACAAGCCTGACTATATAAATGCCCATTCGATAGACAAATTTATATATATTAATTTGGTAGAGACTAATCCTCCTCTTCCTCCGTACATGCCTCTACTTAAGATGTTACCTTAAAATGTTACTTATTTGTAAATAATATTTTAATCCATTGATGTTAGGTGATGGTGAAAAAAATTGTGTACATGTCTTTAGATATGCTTATCACATTATACATTAAATATAATTTGACTAGTCAAATCAACCTCTAATAATTTATCGGTTATGCCAAAGTTGGTCTTAGAATAAATTTTTCGAAAGATAATTTTTAGAGAACGAGTGATTAAAAAGTAAAATAATAATAATAGTAATAATAATAATAATAATAATGAATTCATGTATAAAATTATTTTATTAAAATAATATTCAATTGGAAATAAATCTGAAAAAAAATAAAATTGAAGGATAGATACCATGAGCCCAATTTCTTTCATATTATGGTGGAGGGACAAATTGTTACAATTGATTTACGCCAAACTTATCTAAATTTTATTATTTACATTTATTCTACTAAATAAGTCATGAACTTGAAGTTAGTTGTTGTTAAATGTGATTTTACACTTATCCGAGCCATTATATGTGGGCATTTCGGATTGCTTATATTGATTGTATACTTAATTTTGTTTATTTTATGATTAATTTAGAAGAAAACTCAAATTGGAAAAGTTGAATGAAATTGGATTGTAACTGTACAAAAATCTTGAACTTGGGACCAATGCATTAAGTTTTGAAGTTGAATTTGAAATTAAAAGGACGTGGAACGAACAAGATGTTGGAGTTGAGTACTAAAGTGCACACTTTAGAAGATGTTTTGACCCTTGCGATCTCAAGGGTCTGTTTGGCTGTGATTGCGAGGGCAATGTAATAAAAAACAGTGACCAAAATAGGTATTCCATGCGATTGTAGTGGTTTACATTATGCGATTGCATAGGGTAAACGTGCTTAAATTCTACATTTTTTTCTTTACTTTGACTCAAATTCTACATAAAAAATATCTGTTGGACTAACGTGTAGATAGATTTTTTACTCTTATAAATAAATTTTTTTTTTTTTTGGAACATATAGTTCTAGAGAGGGAAACACATTACAAATCAATATCAAATAGCAAAAGGCAAGAGTTTTCAAGAGTTTGGGTTTGGAAAAGAAGAATCTTGGTGTAACCTATTATATTCTTCATCAAGATTTCAAAACTTCACGATGAACTCTATTCTTCTAGTTATTTTTTCTTTTATTTGTTTGAGCAGTTAAATTATTAATTAGGGCAAATAATATAATGGACTTATTCATCTCTCTACATGAAAGATATGTACGATAGTTCACTTTATTATTTTTCTTCATTTCTTTGTTATTGATGATTTTTAAAGTTTTGAATCAATTGATGACTAATTCAACAATTTTTGAATTTGATACGAGTACTCATGTTCCAAGTGCAGTAGCAAGTAGAAATAGTAACATCTGTAATACACTTTACACTTTTGGGCGGCTGCGATGACAACTAGTAACGTGTGAAAAAGAAATGACGGTGAAGGGAGATAATTGTGATATTTGTTTTGTTTTCGAAATTAAGAAAAATTTGATTTTTTTTTTTAGATTTTTATTGTCAAAACAATATAGCTAGAGTTTGGGGATTAAAATCAAATTTTTGTAGTTTTGATAAAAGTTGATAAATTGTGTGATTGAAAATGAATTTGAAAAAAAAAAAATGAGTTTTAAGAAATGGAAGCCAAACATAAACTCACAGCTTGTTTGAGCCCCAATTTTTTAAATAAAAAATACATTTTGAAATAATGATTCGATGAAGAATGTATGGTTAAAAAAGAAAAAGTTTGAATTTGCGTGTAATATTATTTTATTAAAAAATGTGGTTGAAAATAGGATAGAAAAAAATGCATTTTGAAAATAATGTAGACCAAACAAGGGCTTAATTTTACTTTGGCATTACCACTTCTCCAATATTTGATATTGACATGGTACCGCCAAAATTTCATTAAAAACAAATGAGAAAATAATGGAAAAGCAAAGGAATAAGATCGTCGATGGAACTTGAGACCTAAAACAATTATCTAGTTCGTTTCTCGGTAAGATATGGGTGGGTAGCGTGGAATTGGCACATCGTCTTAGACTCTTCGTACAATCGAGGTAGGGGAAGATAGTTGTTTGTTTTTTGCTTGTTATTTTGTGGCTTTTATCTTTTTTCCTACTATAGTTAAGAGTAGGAGTATATTATTAGGTTCTCAATACGGTTTAAGACCAAAATGTTGCAAAGCTAAAAAGTTGAGGATCTTCCCTGCAATTTCCTCAATTAGAATACAAACTTCATGACTTCTTTTTTTTTTTAAAAAACGAATCACGTCACCAAGCAAATAGAATTCGTGATCTTCCCTTCTAAGTCGAAACTGTAGAGTCTACGCTCGTAATTACAGGTTCTATTTCCTCGCTTATATTTGATTATATAGATTAATTGGACTGAGGCAAGTTATTTGAGATTTATACAACAAGGTAGTCCAACAGATCTTCTAATTTTTATTTTCTATCGGAACCCTGACTCTCTGATTTTCGTTTTAATTTGGTCCAAATGCACAAGTATTTGACAAATTTTGTGTTTTTTTGATGATTTAAGGCGACGATCATTTTCTTCGTGTCAAGCGGTGCAGGAATTCATTCGTCTTCGAGTTTCAGTTTAAATTCTAATAAAGTGTGTTCGAATCTGAACAGGCAAATATGATGTCCTTCGAAATGAACGACCGAAAAAGTAAGTCTATTCCGTTCTATTTCCATGTATCGTTGAATCGATTGTTGAATTGAGTGCGTGAGTGTGAGTGCATTGGTTCGCCCAATCTATGTTTAAACGGAGTTTTCAATGATATATGAATAATTGCATCTAAGCTATTGTGGCTTTGCATTCCAACTTGTTTGTAGATTATAAGTATAAATCTACCTTTTGATTTTTATTTATTTTTTAATTTCTCGAGTGAAACTGAAGTGTTAGTTTGAGGTGTGCCTTCATATTATTGTTGAAGAAAGAAATGTGCAATGCTTGATGTGTTTTTTCTTTGTCTTGATATAACGTGACAGAAATTGGACTGGGACTGACGGGGTTTGGAGTGTTTTTTTCATTCTTGGGGGTCATTTTCTTCTTCGACAAGGGACTGCTGGCTATGGGAAATGTAAGTTCCACCTTCATATTGCTAAATTTATTTTTGATTCCTTGTTAGCTGTTTAACATTGTGTCGTTGTGTTGAAACAGATCCTATTCTTCTCAGGTGTAACATTAACAATTGGACTCAAGTCATCGGCGCAATTCTTCATGAAACGATCCAATTTTAAGGTTTGTTTTACTTAGTGACTTTGCACTTTGTTATTTTACCATTTATGTTATTTCGAGTCCACTGGGAATTGTAATGTTTATTGTAGGGAACGGTTTCATTTGGTGCTGGGTTCTTCTTTGTCATTGTTGGATGGCCTATTATTGGAATGATGCTAGAGGCATATGGATTTGTCGTACTCTTCAGGTTCAGCAAACACTGTTTCTTTGATTAGACATATAATACTGTATTAGTTTTCACAGTGGTTTACACTTATCTCTTCCTGGTCCTGATGATCATGATTTATAATTATATTTGTGCAGTGGCTTTTGGCCAACACTGGCTGTTTTTCTGCAGAGGATACCTGGTCTTGGTTGGCTGTTCCAGCAGCCTTTTTTCAGATCGGTATTTACATTTTCTGACTATCCGTTTGGATACTGAGAAGCAATTATTTTGGAATTTATACTCAACTTGA